AGAAAGGGTTTCTCTAATAACTTCCAAGCTTTTTTCAAGCCCAGCTAGTATCTTTAAAGTCATGATTCTGAACTCGAGGTCCGACATCGTACTAATGTCAGTATTGAGTAGGTCCCTGGCTGACGGTACTACCTCTTGTTCTTTTTGCTGAGGTGATTTTTTTCGTCTTGTCATTTTGTCCAGAGGAGAACAGATAAATGAGAGAACAGAATGCTGACAGGTTAACAACGTCTCCAGCAAATATACTCTATACAAATCAGAAAAGACCTGAAACCAGGGGACAAGAAAGGGAAAGAAAGAAGAGAAAAAAAAAAAAGGAAAAAGAAAAAGATAAAAACAAACAAAAACAGAACAAAACAAAAAAAAGCAGAATATGATCAAATATGATCAGGCTAGTGCATAGATCAGTGCCACACACTAGCTTTTGGGCGTATTTTGGTCTGTTAGAAGAAAGTGCCTGCTAAAATTTTAAAGGAAGAAAGACTTATATATGTACAAAATAAGGGTTGATACAATGAAGGGATGGCAGATGACTGTAAAGATGAAAATTATAAAAGATTTTATAGAAGGAATTGATAAGAAGTTGTTTTTAAAAAGAAGGAAGAAGATTTAAAAAGAAAAGGAAAAAGAAAAAAGAAAAAAAAGGGAGAGACTGTGATCAGGCAGGAGACTAGAACAAAGCCATACACTAGTGATTTAGGGTATATTTTGATCTGTTAGAAGAAATTGTATCTCAAAATTTTAAAGAGAGAACAACTTATATATATAATGCCAAAAATAAGGGTAACTACTATGAAGGGATAAAAATATGACTCCAAAAATGAAAAATAAAAAATGTTTTTTTTAAAAAGGGATTGATAAGATGTTGTTTGAAAAAGGGAAAAAGAAAAATTCAAAAAAAAACCAGTTAAAAAAATTAACTTTGAAAAACTAATGAATTATGGTAAAAAAGCCATGAATTCTATGTGCAGTATTCCCCTAGCGCTGGAGTTCTCCCGTTCTCCTTGATCGGTAAACTTGGTCTTGGCTTGCTGGCTGTTCGTGCTGATCTTCTGGGGGAGAGGCCTGTTGCCGTGGTTCCCAAATGTCTTTGCTGGAGGCGGAATTGCCCCGCCCTTGTGTGTCCGGGCTAAGCAAGCTGCTCGGGTTTGCTCTCAGGAGCTTTTGTTCCCTGCAAGCTCTCGGTACAGCTTTGGAGGACCAGGGTGAAAATGGTGGCCTCCCAATCTCCGCCTGAAGGAGCTGAGAACTCGAGGCCCCGCTCCTCAGTGCGCCCCCAGAGAAAAGCAGTCACTCCCGTCTCCCCAGTCTCCGGCCGCACTCCGTGCTCACCCGGCCTGTGATCGAGCGTTTCGATCTCTGGCACCCGACTCCGTGTGGAGTCTCCAAACCCAGCAGATCTCTGCGGTGCACTCCCGCACCGCTTCTTCCCGGGGGAGGAAGGGGAGTCTCCCTGGCTCTGCCGCTTGTTGGGTCCCTGCTGGAGGAGCAGTGGCCCGACTGGGCCGCAGATCACAGTTTATGGCAACCCCGAGCTGAGAGCCCGCGCCTCGGCTCCGTCTCTGCAGCCGGCTTCCCCGCTCCGATACCTGGGAGCTCTGCCGCACTCATGCACCCCCGGTCTTTCTGTGACCCCGAGGGTCCTGAGACCACACTGTCCCGCGAGGGTTCCACCCCCCGCTTAGCCACTGCAGCGACGTCCCTCAGCGGAGCCAACTTCTAAAAGTTCCGATTTTGTGCTCCGCGGCTCTAGCACTTGCCAGAAGCGACGGAGGCGACGGAGGCCCCCTCCCCCGCCATCTATCCTCCCAAATATCGCCTCGGATTCACTTCTCCACACGTCCTACCTTCCAGTAAGTGGTCGCTTCTCTGTTCAGAGAGTTGTTGCTACTCTCTTCTTCGATCTCCTGTTGAGTTCGTAGGTGTTCAGAATGGTTTGATCCCTATTCAGCTGAATTCCTGAGACCAGACGAAATCCAACCCACTTGTGTCTTTATAAAGTGGATTTCTTGTAGACAGAATAGATTTGTTTTATAATCTAATCTGATAATCTGTGCCTTTTAATTGGATTATGTAGACTATTTATAAATTTATTGTTTTTATTTATGTGATTGGATTTAAATCTACCATCTATTTTGCTTTCTCTTTGTCCCAGCGGTTCTTTGTTTCCTTGTTTGTTTATTTCTGCCTTCTTTTGAATTAATTGGGTATATTTTTCTGATTCTTTTTATATCTTGTTGGTTTATTAGCTGTAGCTCTTTGTTGTGCTATATTAGTAGTTGCTTTCGAGTTTATGGTATACATCTTTAACTCAGTGCATTCAACTTCAATAAGGATACTGCTACATGTATTGTCTAAGAACCTTCCAACATACTTCTACGTCTCTACTCCCAGCTTTTGTACTACTCTAGTCATAGATCCAGCTTTGACACCACACCTCATGATGCATTATTATTATTTTTCTTTTAAATGGTCAATTATCTTTTAAAGATATTTAAATAATAGTAGTTATTGATTGCTACCTTTTACTGGAGGTTTCTCTCAGGTCATCTTTTGCTATTCTGTAGCTCTTTCTCTATGCTGCTCTGAGTTGTTCTTTACTGTTTTGACCCAATCCTGGATTCAAAACCTTCCATTCATTCCCCCAAAGAACATTCCGTACAGTAAAGTGGTATGGGAGCGGGCAGGTGTGGGGGGATACATGTATAAGGCCACCAGAGGAAAAGAGAAAATCAGAACTGGATATCAGATAGACCTATTCCTATGGTCCATCAATTGTGCTCTCCACGGAGGTCATCTCTGGCCACCTTTGCTTCTCCTTCCAGAACTACTGCCATGTTGCTGGGCCCTGTTCACTATGTCCCTCTCCATGGACAGCAAGCCCTGGAAAGACCGTGAGATCCTCCTTTCCCATATTCTGAGGCTCACTTCATTTCCTTCCCAGAAGACTGAAAGTGAGAACATCTATCTCCTACAGAGCAAATACCCCACCTCCATCCCCAGGTCAAAGTCAGGTCCCATGGCCTGGAAGGCAGTCACAAGGTCAGCAGTATGTTTTCCAAAGATTATACCAAATCCCCTCCAGTTCTACTTCACAGTCTTTCACCTCCAGTGTGAGACGAATAGAATATCAAGCATATCCCTTTGTTGAATATAGGCTCATGATCTCAATAACATATATTTGAAAAAGTCACACAAACATCTCCCAAGACATGAGTGAAGATATTCCTGGGTAGTCCTTTTAAAATTTATTTCTAGAAAAATGATCTCTCCACACAGCCCTGGTCCTGTTAAAGACAGAGTTGATCTATAGCACCATATGGAACAGTCAACATCTCAGGGTACATTTGGACCATGTCACTGGTTCTGTGCTTACCCAAGAACAGTGGGGCATACATACTGACCTTACATCTGCAAGAGAGTGTTATGGTTTTGAGTATAGACTGAAAGAATCACCCTTAATGGCTCTTTACAGAATGAAATGAGGGTCTTCTCAATAAAAATTTCCTGTTTCCCTCTAAAAGCAGATACTTTTCAGGATCCTCCAAGTAGAAGTTTCCCAGTCCCACCAACTTTAAAATCTAGAGCTCACTCTAGGTAAACTTTCTGCTGCCAATCCTAAAATAATTGTGTGTCTTCACTGTGTGGAGGGTTGAGGCAGAATAATATCAAACCTTTAATAATCATTGCCACCAAACATACACAATGAGAATGTGTCATCATTTGCCTTGCCCCGAGCCCCTTTGAGAGAGTCTTCCCAACCTCTAAAGAGCTGCTCCATGTTCTGCATGTTCTTGCCTTCCCTTTTTCCAAACACATATTTGGGCCAGAGCTGGGCACTTGCCCCAAGGCCAGCCATGGGCCAACCAAACCATCTTACTCCAGAATTTAAATAGGAGTCAGCACCTGGTCAGCGGTGATGGGAATTCCAGCTGAAATGTACAGTTGAAGTTAGAGTTGGTTCCATACGCAATATACCATGCATGCTGAGGTTATAGGGAGCAGAAATCAAAGGCAACACAGAAAACAGGTGAGTAGAAAAGGAGTACAAAGCGAGTACTATGTGTCCCCTGGAGAGGATTTTCCTAACATCACTGACCCAAGCTGTGGGTCCAGCTGTGCTCTTGCCCTGGATGCTGTGACATCCTCCATATGGTGGAGACTATGACCTTCCCATCCAAATTCTGCTCCCTGCTTCTTGGTCTTATTCAGTGTCATAATATGCACAACAAAGAGACTACATTTCCCACCTCCCTTTACAATGGGAATAGCCTTAGTTTAAGTCCTGACCTCAGAGACAAATGGAGGTTGTTGAGTAGAACTTCCTGGAAAGCTCTTTAAGAGGGGGAAGGCAGCCAGGATGCACTTGTTTGCCCTCCCCACCCTCCTAACTGCCACTTGGAGTGCAGTTGATGGCTAAAGCCCCAATTTAAGGTGGATCCCCTGGCTGAGGATGGAGGAGCAGAAAGATGAAAGAGGTCTGAGTGCCTGACGAGGATCAAGCTGCCATGTTAGCTTGAGATTGCCTACTTCTCCATTTCTTTTAGTGAAAGAAGACCGACACTTCATGCCAACATTGCTCTGTTGAGAGCTAAAGGCAGCTGTCAGTACAGGGCCCTCACGGAGCCAGAACTCACTCAACAAATGTTCCATGCTAAGTATCTGTCAGTAGCCCATGAGCTGAGACATGGGCCCTGCCTCACCGTGGTCACTGTCTTCCAGGGCCCCATGTCCACAGAAGAGGTGGGAGGGCAGATGCTGACCACCTAGAACAAGAACAAAGCTACTTTGTGGAGTGGCTACCCAACAGCAACAAGGTGGCTGTGTGCGGCACTCTTCAGGGCCTCCCGGTGGTCATGTGAGAAATCCCTTCTTGGGGCCTCGCGCTGCCATCCATGCTTGTGGGCAACAGGACCATTATTCATGAATTTTTAAAAACTCATATGGGAACAGTTTTCCGTCATGGTCACCAGGCCTTCTTTCACTGGTTTATAGGAGAAGAGATGGATGGGATGGAATTCACAAAAGTCGAAAGTGACAGGATGATCTGGTGTTGGAACACCATCGGAGTGAAGATCGTGTAGTTGATGATGGAGAAGAAAGTTTTGAAGATGGCCAGAAAAAGATCAGTGAACAAAGGAGCCTCCTTGACTCAAATCCTAAAAACACATGGTATTTCTTTAATCCTTCATAACTGAAGATTTGTGCATTCAAACTGAATGACCGTTGGGTCAAATGGCTCGCATGGTTGTAAATAAGTTTATCTAGGTCCCTCAAAGACAGGACAAAATTGTAATAGCAGTCATCTGAAATACAGAAAGTATGCTAAAATAGCAAGGGATTGGCAATCCCACCAAACAGGGGGTCAGATGATAAGGATTTTCTATTGCAGGATTTGAAACAACCAGTGGACCATAAACGGCTACATAAATAAGCCTTCTTTTCGTTCACTGTTCAACCATGTTTGAGATTTAGCACGGAGTGTAGTTAAAATAATTAGCAGTTTTTCATACTTTTTGATAAAACCCTGAAGCTGTGCAGTAATACTGTGTCTTGAATATGCAGTAGTAAACTTTGAAATATTATTTTCATAATAAAATACTAAAAATTGTAAAAAGAAAAACGGGCAATATCTAGTATGGTTGAAAGTCTGCAAATCCTATAACCATACAATTTCCTCATAAGCCCATGCCGTAGAGCAGGGGTCAGCAAACTTTTTCCGAAAAGGGCTAGATAGTAAGTATCATCAGCTCTGCAGGTCCTATGGTCTCTGCCATAACTACCCAACTCTGCATTCAGAGCATAAAAACAGCCATAGACAGTATGTAAACAAATGGTCATGCCTCTATTCCAATAAAACTTTATAAAAACAAGTGATGGGCCAAAACTAGTCCAAGGATCATAACTTGACAACTCACTAGAGAAACTCATGTGGATGTGTACCAAAATGTGGGTACAAGAATATTATTGCCTATTGTTTGCAATAGCCCCAAACTGGAAACAACCCGAACCCAAACCCAAATGTCCATTGATAGGAAACTCAAAAAAGATATTGTGGTATATGTACCAATGGAACACCAAACAGCAAATCAAATGATCTCTGTACACATAGAAGAACATTCTTTTAAGATTCATGAGTAAATCTTAAAAACAAAATGTTGAGCAAAAGAAGCCAGACGCAAAGGAATGCATCTTGTATGATGTTGGATTTGGTAAAACTAAACTATATTGTCTATAGAAATGCTGTCAAATCAAGCAAACAAGCAATTACGATAAAAGTCAGAAAGCAAGAAGCAATAGTGACCAGGAATGGGTTTATAGTGGGCTTTGGGTGCTTAAAACATCTGATCCTTTCACTTAGGTGATGTTTACATAGATAACTCACTATTTAATATTTTATACAAATTGAACACTTAGGTTTTTATACAAACTTAAACCTGTGTTTTGTACGTGTGTAAATTTCATAAGAAAATGTGAGATTTTCAGTACTTTCCATCTATAAAATGCTACAGACCGACAGATGTTAATAATATGATGTCTGGGTCTCTCTGGAATGAAAGGTGCCACTCACAGTTTTTATTTCCAGTGTAAGAGCAGGTGGCTGTCTTGCCCCATGTGCTTGCAGCTGAGGTTGACCAGCAGCATGAACCAATCCAGAGCATATCAGCCAGGACTCTATATCCATATACTTTCACATGCATGTAACATAATTTCTTAGTAGTTCATATGCCTTTTATTTTGTCATCTATAAAATACTAATGCGCAAACCCTTGAGAAAACGTCTGCATTGTTCCTGTAAGTGAAATCAGACGTCGACTACATGGTATTCTGGTGTAGTTGGGGTCTGCATCTGTCTTCCCTCTTTTACTCCGAAAAATATTATGAAATTGAGAAGTGCTATCTTGGATAGTGTCTCCTGGGAGCAGAGCACGTGATGAACAGACTTCCACCATGGAAGAGATGGGTGAGGAGGTTAAGTAAATTTTCTTTGTGTAGTTCCCATTAAACTTCAATCAGAGTTACAGAAAGAAATTTCCTCCAGGCGGCTGCGAATACAGGTATTGGTTTGACTTTAATAAAAGTCATAACTGATCTCTCTGAGGTCTCTCGTGGAATGAGCTCAGCAGAATTCAGGCAGGTCCTTGAGAGGGAAAGCGCCCACTTAAACATCGCATTATCCTAATAATCCCATTCCGGAGCTGCCGTCCCATTATTTTAAAGGTCTTCATTTGCAAATTGTGGTATTTGAAAGTTTTCTTTTTACATTATTGCAGAAAGCGGGATGGATCTTCCTGAGGGCCCCGCACCTATGTACACATTCCCCCGGCTTCCAGGCCAGCGAAAGACGGCATTGTGGGTAATCCGCGCTGCCCCGCACCTTCACCCCCTGGCCCTGATTAAACCACCTGCTTAAAGCAACGGCTACTTTGGAGGTAAGGATGATTTTAATGAGATTTGTTAAGAAAGAAAAAAAAAGTTCCTCTCATTGCTAAGAATAGCACTGGTCAGGATGGAGATCAGGAATAACATTGTTGCAAGACAGAAAGTCTCATTGCCGTTCAGTCATTTTTCAACAAATCTTTTCAGGGCACCGACCGCCTGTTAGGTGCTATTCGAAGCAGCAGAACAAAGCAGTGCCAAGGTAGACAAGGAACTCCCAGTCTAGTAAGGGAGACACACAGTGAACAAGTGAAAAATAAGTAAGATGATTTCTGATAATAAGAAAATACTAAAAAATAAGACTGGATAAAAGGCTGTGACAATTTAGGATGGGGGCACCAATGTAGATGGAGGGGGTGTCCACTCCCTGCAAAAGGTGTCATGTGAATTCACGACTATGAGAAGGAGCTATGCATACAAATATTTCAGGGAAAGGGAGTCCCAGGGAAAGCGTATATAGCAAGTGTCAAATACTTAAGGGAAGACAGGAAGAAATTTGGAGCTGCCGGAATATCCCGCATGAGGAAAAAGGGATTAAGAGATGCATCTGGAAAGGTCCTGCAGAGTCTCATGGGCCACAATAAGATTTTAGATTTTTGGGGATGTGAAAAATCTCTTTGCTCCTTTAGTAAGTAAATCAGTGTTTCTTAAGATAATGTCTGGCTTTCTGGCGTTCAGAGTTACTTGGGTGGATATGAGGGGAAACGAAAAGTGGCTCTGGATTCTGGCTTAGTCACTTACCTTTTGCACAACCGTGAGTAAGTTTCCCTGGCCTCTCCAAGCCCCTTCTGTGAAGTGGAGGTAACCACACCCACTTCCGACTCATAGCGAATATGAAATGTTTGTGAAAATGCCCCACCCAGTGTCCACACTCAGTAGGCACTGCGTAATTTTCAGTAGACTCTTCATCTGAATAAACCCCGGGGCCTGCTGAGCCTCCGGGGAAGCCTTCTTTTCAGTAAAAGCTTATTGTTTAAAATGAGGTCAAGCCAGTGATCATGCATCAGGAAAAACCTGAAGATATTAACAGATCCTGGGCAGGGAGCCTTGGTATAGTAGAGTAAGCACCCAGTTCTGGCCCCAGATCTGCTGTTCACTAACCGAATGATCTCAGGAAACTAGGCCTGATTTCCAAATCTGGAAAACAGGGATACTCATCATCATAATCTGGCCAAGGGCTTCCGGTGCCACAGTGGATGTGAACCAGGAGGGCTCTGCCCCGGCGAAGCTAGCCTCCTGGGCTCCTCTGCTTCACTTGCCGTCCCTGCAGGTGGAGGGCCAACTGCTAAGACCTCTGAATAAGTCTGAATCAGTGCTTGAGTGGGAGGAGTGAGCAGCCAGCCATCCCCTTCTGGACTTCCCTTTGTCCTGTTCTCTACTGGAATTAAAGGAATTAATTTATGAATTTTCTTAGAATGTTCTGTAATTTATACTCTATCAGGTTTAGAACAACTTCAGTCTAAGTCCGTGGTCAAGTGTCCTCTCTCTTTGAGAGAGCAAGGGTACCTATCCTAATGCAGAAGCATCCTGCCCACCCTCCCCTTTCTCCTTTTTGCTGAAACAGAGCCAAGAGAAATGGTTGTCACTCTGGGCCACCCAGGAGTCTCATTGAGGTCACATAACATAACCACCCTGGTCAGCACAGCTTCAAAGCAAGGCTAACAGTGTTGCAGGGATTCCAGCCTCTCTGACTAGAAGGGAGCCTCTTAGGTTCAGGATTGCTTCAGAAACTTTAGCCTCCTTTCCCTTCTGCCATTTGCCTAATTTAAGGGAGGCAGATTAAAAAAAAAAAAAAAAAAAAAAAAAAGGCATGGCTGAGACCAGGCAGGAGTGAGGGGCTGCTGGCTGTGGGCTAGGCAGAGCTCAGCCTGGGGCAGAAGGTAGTAAACACACCCTGCAAAGCTGGAAATCGGAGAAAGTCAGAACAGCTCCAACGTGACATCAACAGACACTGGTATTTCTGCCCCTACCCTGAGATGGGACCCAAAGGGACAAACCCCATTGAGCCATGAGTGCTTGAGTACAATGCAGGGGAAGGAGAGTTAGAATGTGAATATAGAATCAGCTGGGTTCTGGTTTGGGTTTTGGTTTTTCAATTCTGGGTGGCCTGGGTACAAGTCTGTTTCTCCAAGTTTTGGGAATGAAGATGACGCAGGAGAGGGGACTCAGGATTGTGGGTGGGGATGGCGGTCTCTCCACCAGGGAGGCCCTGATACGCACATTCTCCTATTTGACAGGTCAGTTCTGTGAAGTAGGGCAGGATTGATCATTAGTCACATTTACAGGTGAGAAAGTTGTGTCCAAAGGGATTAAGAACTTGTCCTTTGGCACGCAGTTCATAAAGGCAGGGCCTCTGCGTAAGTCAGCTGCCTCTCGTCCTGAGCCTACCGGTGGGCCAGGGGACCCCAGAGGTCCTCTCAACCACCTCAGTGCCATCACCACGCACCTCGGAGGGAGGAGAGAGAGTCCAAACCCCCAGAAAGGATGCTGGCTGCTCATTAACTGGAAGGAGAAAGCATGGACTCACAGCTCTCTCCTGCTTAAAGGAACAATTTGTACTGATTAGGGAAGGCATTTGTTCAAGTCTGCAAATCCTTTTAAGAACTGGAATCACTTCTATGCTAAAAAGGCCTGCACAGAGCTTCTAACTGATGATAATTACTAGTCAATTACTCTTTTGTGGAGCCCTTGGGCCCAACAGAGCACCTTGAGGGGGTGGTGCCTGCAGGCCCTGCCCTGCTTCTCCAGCATCTCACCTTAGGAACCTGAAACCAAGCAGCTGGCTCCAGAGACCAGCTATGGGTCCCAATCTGGTTTGCAGCCCACATTTTTTTTGCCCTATAAAATCCAGGTGTGCCAGCTGGGACATACTTAACTAAAAAATTACCTGTTGTTTATCTGAAATTAAAATTAAATTAAAATTTAACTGGGCATCCTATATTTTAATTTGCTTAATCGGGCAGCCCTACATGCTACCCACCCCTTTCCCATGAGCCCTGCCACCTGGCCCCTTCAAATCATGAATCACTTGGATAAGAATGCCTTTCCCCCCTCGACACTCCCGTGGTTTGGGTTCCCCAGAATCCACGAGGGGTGGGTGGGCACAAATGTAGATTGATACCTACTATATGCCAGATACTTTACATATTCTAAGTCATTTTAATCCCCCCCCCCACAACCCTCTGCAGTGGTATTCTTAGCCTGGTCCATGGTTGAGGAAGGATTCAAATCCATGCTGTGGATTCCAGGCAGAGAGCGGACTGTGCTGTGTTACTTTTCCAAGCCCCTCCATTTCCTCCATACAATGGGAGACAAGGGTAATGGTCCCTGCCTCACACAGAAGATTGAAGGAGATGCTGTACTGATGTAATCACTGGAGGGCCTGGCATACAGTTAGGCCTCAGTACTTGAGGATGGCTTTTGGACTCATTTCCAGTTTCCACCTTTCGTAGATCCAAGGCTGTCCAGTTCCCACAGCAAGGCAGTGTGGCCTACAGGATTCCCTTTGGCAGAAGCAGCAGCTTTACAGATGTGACTAAAGACCAGGAAGACCTGCAACTCTGCCCTAACTCTCCAAGCACCTGCTTTGTGGTCTATATAATGAGGAATAATTGTGCCCAAAACGCTCAGTGTGTGGAGTGATGAGTTAATGGTTCAAAAGGGCCTTTGAAGTCCCAAACCCACAAGCAGTCCAGAGCCATGCGTGAATGTTCACATCACCACCTGGGCATTTCCCAAGCTATGCCTTCACTGCCAACAGATGGCCTCATCAGAGATTCTGGACAGAGAATGGCAGTATTCCTCAGTTTCCCATCCAGGTGGTATTGGGCACTGACTACCTGAATATAATTCTCCCACTACTTTGGTCTGCTGCCTGATTGGACTTCCTTTCAGAACCTGCACTTGGCCCTTCCTAGTCATGGCCTCTCTCTGGTGGGTGGATCAAAGTCTAGGTCCCAACACCCCTTGTCGGCACATTAGCCTGGGTCATGCTAATTGAGTTTCTAAGATAACACAGGTGAGTAGTTGGAAAGAGTGCCACTGGTGTTCTCAATTGTCTTCCTCAGCCTTCTGTAGAAACCCGTGGAATCTGTGGTTTATGAAGAGGGTTGGAAACAGTCCTCTGCCTAAGATGCATTTCTCTGAGGGCTTCTAATTCTTCCAGTTACCATAGTAACTGAGCACCTGGTTGTCAAAGACATGACAGAGGGTAGGAGAGCTAAAGCCAAGAGCCACCAAGGTCTCCCCCAAATGATTAGCAGGTTAAATTACAAATGGCATGGAACTAGGTAAACAGGTAGATAGGTAGATAGATGCTTTCTTAACATGAGTGTCCAGAGGAAGCTTAAGCTCTGAGGGCAGTAACCATGGCTGTCCTGGTTGCTGTTGTAACTCTTGTACCTAGATCAGTGTCTTGCACATGATAGGTTCTTACATTTGATGATGGATGGATGGTTGAATGGATGGATGGATGGTTGGATGGATGCCTGGATGGATGGATGGATGGATGGATGGATGGATGGATGGATGGATGGTTGGATGGTGGATGGATGGTTGGATGGATGGATGGATGGTTGGATGGATGGATGGATGGTTGGATGGATGCCTGGATGAATGGATGGATAGATGGGTAGATGGATGCTTGGATGGATGCCTGGATGAATGAATGGATAGATGGATGGATGGATGGATGGATGGATGGATGGATGGATGGATAGCATCCAACATTCAGGTACCAGGAAACAGTTGAGCAGAAAAAGACAGGATGACATTCTAGAAGGAAGTCAAGAGCAGCAGTTCTGGGGCAAATGTGGGCAGCCCATTGGAGTCCCCCTGGGCAGGCCTGGTGGGAAAGGGTGTAGATGGAAGGACTTGGGCCTGGAATCCGAGCCATAAAAAAGAGACCTAGTATATCTGTTCTTTCAGGCTCTCAGATACATCTGGACCCATTCTCTATTCTCTTCCATTTTGCAAGGCCACCCCTTGGTGCATTCTTGAGTCCTTTCCTCTCTCATAGCCTGTGTTCAATATATCATCAAATCCCGTTGGGTCTACCTTAAAAATATATCCCATCACTATACTTCAATTTTTTTTAAAAAGGACAAAATAAAAATAACTTCCCAAATGCAATTATGTCTTCATAGTTACAGTTTTCATCTTGATTCAAGCCACAGAATCTCTTGTCTGGATAGTTTCAAAAGCTCCTCACCATCTCCCTGCTTCCACTCTTGCCCCAGACACCTACTCCCCAAGCAGCAGCCACCATGATTCCTTTAAAAAGTCAGATCAGATTCTGTCACTCCTCTGCTCAGAGTCCTTTAATGCTTCCCACCCCAACTCATCCAGAGTGAAAAAATAAGTCTTTGCAGTGGCTTGTAATGCCTCACACACCTGGACCCCATTCTCTTGCTGACCAATTTCCCTCCACTCACAGCTTTTCTGCTATCCTGGACTGCTTGGGACTGCATACTATTCCTCAAATACACCTGTGTGTTTCTCACCTCAGGGCTTCTGGGCTTGCTCTTCCTTCTGCATGGGCATTTCTAGATTGGCCTGATCTAGCTCTGAAGTCAGCTAGAGATGAGTGTTAACCCTGAAGCTTCTGCCCTGCCATAAAGAAATTTCTGTTTCTAATTAATGGTCTCTTGGACCCCAGTCTGGCTCCTCTCCTTGCCAGGAGAAAAAGCCAGTAACAGGCAGTGACTCAACCCCTAGAGTAAGGAATTTGAGAACAAGTTATATATGGTTGTGTAGGTTGTACACTGCACAAGGCACAAGTCAAGGTGACTAGTAGGGGCTGGAATCCAGCCTGAGTACTGCTTGCTAAGCTTGCCAAATGGTGCACCCCCCTGCAGGGTTGCATCCTCCCAGAGGAAGCAGAGGTCTGCTTGGAAGCTGACCCATTTACAGGGACTGTCTGAATGAGAGAGGTGACATTCAAGCAAGAGACCTAGAAGGCACATGCTATAGCCCGAGTACTGATTTTGGAAATAGTGGGTTCTGGGTGGGCCTAGCAGTGGGAAACCAGCAAGAGGCAAATGTTAAGCAGCTAGGTGGGTGGTGGGGAAAACCCCTGCCTCTCTCAGCCTCTTCAACTATATAATGTGGGTTCCAACTAGACTCAGGTTAGGGAAGCCTAAAACTTGTTCAGAATTAATGCAAACTACAGACCCTTCTGCAGAAAAGGACACGCACATACACACACCCTAAATCTTGCACACGATTTCCAAGGACCCACACCACCCTTCTACCCCACACTCTTATCTGTTGCTATTAAGTCAAGTACCCTTGGTAATCCAGCATGTCTCCAAGAGTCGTCCCAGCTCAGATGCAAAATCTAGGCAGCATCTAAACACTCCAAGGAAGCACCTGCTCAGTGGCAGCTTCCTCCACAGTTGTGGCAGCTGTGCTGGGGGCTGGGGCTGCAGGGAAGGATGGATATTTTAGGAAAACATATGGGAGGGTGGTCCTGCAGGGCTGGACCCTGCTTGACTCAAATGACCAGGGACCTCAGAAGGAAGTTCTTCCCCTCCTTGCCTCCCGACCCCAAAATGCCTCCCTTTTCTGTCCCTTTTCCTTCTAGAAGGAATAGGCAGAGCCCTGGCCGCCTCCTCCTCAGCGCAGACAGCCCCATCACCAAAGGGCCCAGACAATTAATTACCCACCATCATGGCGCCGTTTAGCCTTCAATTTTCCTGACTACCACAAGGATTAACTCAATCTGTGAGACTTCACTGGGCCATTTAAGGGAGCATCATAACTCTTTCTGTTCCCCAGAAATTGTAACCCGGACTCGGTTTTGTAATGCTAATTGCCTTATCTTCATAAATTCTACAGTCTTACATAATTTACCCGCATTGTAGCAGGATTTCCCAAGAATAAAAAAGCAGGTGCCGTCAATGGTAATTTGAATAAGAAAAGACATGTTAAGTGGTTCTTCTCTCACTAGTAATAGAAATTAATTAGCTTTGAGCGGCTTTGGAGGTTTTTGCATTTTTTGCTGTAACCTGTTATGTTTTCTAATTGTATGGAAAGAAGGTTTGATTTGATCACATTATTTGGTGACGGAGAGGCCTCTGTTTGGAGTCAAAGGTACAGAAGGTGGCAGCCAGAAGAGTGGGAAGCCACCGGAGGCGGGCGGAGAGCGTGGGCTTTGCAGTCAGATAAACATGAGTTCCGAGCCCGGGTGAGCCGCTTGCTAGCTCTGTGACCCTGGACAAATCACTTCCCCCTTTTACACTTCAGCTTTCTCATCTGTAAGACAGGGGTGAGCAACTCCACTGGAAGAGAGGACGTCTAGAGCTGAGCAGTTAAGAGCTTTGGCTCTGGAGCTGGACATACCCAGCTTTGGATCCTGCGTCCACCACTTACTTGGTCTGTGACTTTTCCAGTTAGGACGCCTTAACTCGAGAAACATAAAACGCCATTGAAACTGGCTTCAACGACAGGAAAATATATTACCTCACATGGGAACACTAACGTTAATGCAGGCGGAAGGGGTGGTACAGTTTTTTTTTTTTTTTTTTAAGATTTTATTTATTTATTTGACAGGGAGAGAGAGAGGGAACACAGCAGGGGGAGTGGGAGAGGCAGAAGCAGACTTCCCGCCGAGCAGGGAGCCCGATGCGGGGCTCGATCCCAGGACCCTGGGAGCATGACCTGAGCTGAAGACAGACACTTAACGACTGAGCCATTCAGGTGCCCCGGGGTGGTACAGTTGATGGATGAATATCACCAAAGATCTAAGTCTTCTTTCTCTCTTCATTCTGCCGTATCCCAGTGCTGGTCTCCCCCTCCCTGGGCAAGGAATAGAAGTTTTGGGGCGCCTGGGTGGCTCAGTCATTAAGTGTCTGCCTTCCGCTCAGGTCGTGATCCCGGGGTCCTGGGATCGAGCCCTGCATCGGGCTCCCTGCTCGGAGGGAAGCCTACTTCTCCCTCTCCCTCTCCCCCTGCTTGTGTTCCCTCTCTCGCTGTGTCTCTCTCTGTCAAATAAATAAATAAAATCTTAAAAAAAAAAAAAAAGGAATAGAAGTTTCCTGGTTCACATCTAGCAGAAGGGGGGGTGAGCCTCTCCCCCTAGATATAAATCCTTTCCTTCAGTCTGATAGAGCCAATTAGTTTACCTGTCCATCCCTGGAGTAATCATCGACTCCAGGAGAAGGCCACACATGGATTGTTAGACAAATCGGGATCTGCATCCATACAGCTGGGATGGGGACTGCTTCCCTTAAATCATGTATCCTACCCAGTAGGCACACTACACTGTGGTGCTTAACTACAGTGACTTTGGCAAGTTATTTAACCCCTCTGAGTTCAGTTTCCTTGTCTACAAAATGGGGACAATAAAAGCAGCACCTCCTAAGGTTGTTGAGAGGATTCATAATACAGATCTAAAGCATGGTAGGCCCTCCACACATTCTAGTTTCTTTTTCCTGCTCTCACTTCTCTTTCCTTGAAATCCTTGAAAGAAATCCTCCAGGAGGTTATTCAAAGCAGCTCTGTGGGCTTTGGAAGGACTAAAAGCAGAAGAGGAGAGAGAGAAGAGAAGTATTTTCCCAAGTGGCACCTTCTCAACCACAAGAAAACAGCAGTTAAGGGAAGATGACTATGAAG